CAAAAAAAAAAAAAAAAAGAGAATTTTTGGGTAGAAGGACAAGTAGGGACGGTGCCTCCTGCCGAAACAACCAATAAGAACTCCTTGAAGGCCTTCCTGGCACAAACGTTGTCTCCAGCACCCTCTGCCGACCAGGCGCCGCGCTCTGAGTGCTGAGACTGCCCCCGGCCCTCTGTGCCTTCGGGTTACACGTTACCTTGGAGACACCGTGCGAGGCGGCGTGCCTCAGCAAAGGCGGAAGTAGGCTGTGGAAGTGTGGGCGGCCATTTTGAGACCGGGCAAAAGGAACGGGACTGTTGCGGCGGAGAGACCGTTGACTGGTTTTAACCAAGTGACTGGTACCACAGGGCCGGGGAGAAAAAGTGGTGCCATCCCGGGGCGGGGGGATGCCAGGGACGGGGAGGGGCTAGGAAAGCGAGGGGAGGGGAGGAGGGGGGGAGAACGGGAGAAACAGGGAAAAGAGGTGAGTCGTGGGAACTGGCAGAGGGAAAGGGAGAGCCAGACGCGAAGGGTGAAGGGCGGGGCGCGGTAGGAGAGGCGGGATATAGAGCAGGCAGGTGTTAATGGCATGGGAAGAAAGGGTGAGAAGTGGGGCAAGAAGGTGTCGCGGTACGAGGGGAATGTGAGACTCGAGAAGGTGCCGACCAAGAAGGTGGTGCCGGCGTGGAAGGAGAAGGTGTGGGGAGAGGAGAGAGCGAAGGGCAAGGAAAAATCCCGAGGCGCAGAGACAGTCTTCTTCGACAAAGGGCGGGGCGAGAAGGAGGGGCGTGGCAAGAGGGCGGGACGGGGCGAGGGGCCGGCGCGGGAAGAACCAATCGCCGAGAACCCGGGGAAGGGACGGGTCCACAAGGTCGAGGTGGAGGAGCAAGGGCGGGGCCAGGAGCGGAAGCAGAGAGAGCACCGAGCAAGCCCCGGGCACGAAACTTGGGCCGGGCGGGGAGCAAGAGAAGGGGCGGGGCCTGGAGAGGGGCGAGACTAGGTATAGTACCCAGCCCCTGGGCAGACCCCGGGCGAGGAGAAAGGGGCGATACCGAGAGAAGTGTGGAGGTGGGTGGAAGTACACGGGTGCGATTGCAGGTAGGAGTAGGAGGGGGGAATACAGGAGGGGGACTGTCAAAGCGACAAATAGAAACCGAGACCAGGTGAAGAAGAGCAAAACTGGAATACAGAGAGGGTGCAGAGCAAGGAGCAAGGATGGGACAAAGTTAAAGGAAGAGACATGGAGGCAAGGCGGAACGAGGCACAGGAGCAGGGCTGTGGTCAGAAACATTGGTAGGGCTGGGGCCCCGAGCAATGGCAGAGGTGCGATACCCACGAGAGTCAGCGGCGGGGCCAGGAACAAGAGCAGGGGCGGGGCTAGAAGTACGTTCAGGGGCGGGGCCAGGAGCAAGAGCAGGGGCAGGACCAGGAGCAAGAGCTTGGGCCTGGCTAGGAGCAGGCAGGGGCTGTACCAGGCTCAGAGGGGAGGTGGAATCTTAGAAGTGGGGTCCAGAGAGGTGGCCTGCGCGTGGGTGTTGATGCCTGCGTTCTCCAGGTTCTAACCACGTTATTGTGCGACTTAGCCATGTTCCCTGCTGGTCATGCGTGGCCCAAAGTCCGAGTCCTGCAGGTGCTGTGGGCCCTGCTGGCAGTGCTGCTGGCGTCGCGGAGGCTGTGGGCACTCAAGGATTTCCAGGGATGCACCTGGCATGTTGTCCTGAACGAGTTTAACAGGGTAGGCGAGGATGGCGTGGAAGACCGCTTCTTTAAGCAACAGCCCATGGACACAGTGAGCAAGGTGTTTCAGACGCTAGTGGACTCACCCGTCGACACAAACGAGGTGAGAGAACCAGGGTCAAGCGAATCACAGGGATTTTGAATCCCCACTCCACACAACTCTGGACATGCTGCCTAACCTCTCTTTGCAGATATACATGGGCTTCCCTTACTTCCTGAAGATCAACTACCTCTGCAACCAAAAGGTGAGTGGGTGCAGAAGGGATAGGTTCATTCTGTGAGCCTCGGTTTCCCCATCTCTAACTTTTTAAAAAAATTTTCCTTCTTTTTGGCAGTCATCTTTGACTAAACTTTTTAATTTTTTAATTTTATTTCTTAATTTTTTGAGACAGAGTCTCACTATATCGCCCAAGCTGGAGTGCAGTGGTGCGATCTTGGCTCACTGCAAGCTCTGTCTCCGGGGTTCAAGCAATTATCCTGCCTCAGCCTCCGGAGTAGCTGAGAATACAGAGGTGCGCCAACATGCCCTGTTAATTTTTGTATTTTTAGTAGAAACAGGGTTTCACCACATTGCCCAGGCTGGTCTCAAACTCCTGATCGCATGTGATCCACGCGGCCTCCCAAAGTGCTGGGATTACAGGCATGAGACACCTCGTCCAGCCCCCATCTCTTAACA